GCACACATCCCAGCTGGTGCTCTTTAACCCAGTGTTTAACTGGTGCTTTGTTGTTCCTGGACTATTTGCATTGGGACCATAGAGCTCCTATTCATGGCGTGGAGGAGGATCCAGACAGGTGGAAAAAGGAGGAGGAGTGGGGCAAGTTGAATGAGAGAGATACCCAGAAGCCAAACTTTCCTTTTGTATTTTGCTTTTTAGCTGATGAAATAGACTGTTGTATCTTTTGTGCTGCTGTGAATACATGTCCATCTGCTCCAGCATGTTTGCAGTCCCTCCTGGTGCCCACTCAGCTCTTGGCATGTTCAGCACAACTGAAACTCTCCCTCAGCTGCCACATCCTCCTCAAAGACAAATAAAGGTCAAGCTACATTTCAAAAGCAGCTAGGCATTGCAACTGCCCATCAGCTCTTGAACTTGATGAAGCTTTCATGCTCTTTGCTATAAAAGCAAGTTTAATTTTACTGCTTTGTAAATTTTATTGGTGCTTGGGAATTGTGGGGAACCTTCACATCCTGATTTGATTTAACTTGGCTTTAAAAAAGGACTGTTTAAGGAGTCTCTTGGAGTGGTTCTTCCTTTAAGTGATTGCTCAGAAAGATAAGTTCCCAGAAAAAAAAAAAAGGGAAGGAAAACTATGTTAGCTGAAAGCTTTTATTGAAGTTGTATAAGCATATTTATAGAAATACTTGAACTCTTGTGGTTATTGCTATGAAACATGTTGAAAGCAAACTCACAGTGATGCTCAAACTCAGCTGTTCAGTACTCTGGTTAAAACTCAGGTGTTTTGTGAGATATATCTAGTGCATTCCTGAACCATCCTGACAGGTAAACACATTTCAGCAGAGCTCAGGGTTGTGTGTAAGTTTGGGGAAAAACAGCTTGTTAAGAAGATGTGTCATATTTATGGGTTTGTAATTGGCAGCCATGTGGATGAATAACTGCTGGGTGAATTTTACTCAGCTCTGGATTCTGTTTGCCTGATTTTATGAGCAGAGCTAGTGAGGAAAACTGGGGAATACACACAGTGTTGGTTGGGATGGGCCTAGTTGCATCTTCCTGGAGTCAGTAGGTGTCTTCAGCCCTGAAACTGCTCCATTGTGTGTTTGGATTCCTCTTGTTTAGGGGCCTTGAAAACACTGATGCAGCCAAGAAAACCATGGAGGGTTTGGTTATTTTAAAGAGCAGTAGATTGTGTTACACTTGGGGACAGAAAGGAAGAGCAAATGAGAATCTGGTGAAGGCTGGAGGTGATGCCAGTGGAATCTGAGTCCTGCTGCTGGTGTCTGTGGGGGAAGCAGGACATCCATCAGTTGGCATCTGGCATCACTTCTGCTGGGAACTGAAAGTTATCTTTCTTTCCAGACTGGGAATCTGCCATTCGGGTTGGTGTGCTGGATTGTGGGGATGAAGAGAACTATGAGACCTGCAAAGAGTATGGTATTCACTACTACCCAACCTTCAGGGTGAGTGAGGAACATCCTGCCCGAGGGAATGCATTGTTATAATAAAGCTAAACTAGCTGCATGGTTTAGAGTGACTGAAACCATGACATTTCGTGTGACTGGTTGTTCTCTGGCAGGACTTTTGCATTGCTTTGCTGAGAAAACTGCAGAGTTGATAAAAGACTAATTTGAGGGTTTTTTTTCCTGAATTCAAGAGCTGATGCAGCTGTTGATAGCAGGAACTCAGTCCTCAGTGCTGGATCTGAACAGTCCTTACTGGCAGAAGATTCCACTGTGGAAAGTACCATGTTGTCAGATTTACATACCACCTATTTTAATAGATTACTTAAATAATAATTTGTTTAAATACTTTACACATTCAGGTGTTCCTGATTATTAACAGTGGTTTTGGTATGAGAAAGGGAACACATTGAAATTGCCTCATGAAAACAGCTGATTTCATAGCCAATTAAAAATTTACCCTTGATTGGTCCTTCAATGATTTTCTAATTAATTTTATAATGTGCTTAAATTGGCTTTTGAAAGGATCTTGTGTTAGCCAAAAGGATCTGCCATTGCTCCTTTTGAGGCCTAAATGAGATTTTTACCTTCTCTGCCGTTGCCAATCTGAACAATCACATTGTGAACCAGAAGTATGAGCAGAATGTGGTGTTGGAGAGGATTGAATAAACTCTGTGCTGACAGGAGAGGGAACAGGAGACATTTCACTGTAGGATTTGTGACCTTTTACCCTGATAGAAGGTACAATACTTTTTTAATCTTCCAAGTTTAAATCGTAACATCCTCTTTATTAGACACTGAATCTTTCCCATGTTGTTTTCCATAGCAGGAGGCAGCTAAGCTCGGTCAAATATCCTGTTTAACCACTGGAGGGAGTTGGGAAAATGTGAATAGTGTTCCAAGTATACACAGAGTTGTTAGGACTGATCTGGTAATCAGTTCATTTGTGTTCGAGTTAATGTTTGCAGTACAGGATCAATATCTAATATTGAATTATGCATTAGGGGATTTTTACTCTAAAAGTGGCTTCGTTGTTACCAGAGTTTGGACTGGTAGGTGTGAGTTACTTTCAGATAGGGTAGGGTGAGGCCTTTGGAACTTGTAGTCTAAGAGGGAAAACTCTTCTGAACAGATAAAGTGTTTTGTAGTTAGAGCTGTAAAAAGTCGATTAAAAGCCATTTTTGTTCCCAAACTGAGCTTTTTGTCTGATGCACTGACTTTTCTCTTCTCCCACACAGTACTTCAAAGCATTTACAAAGCAGTTTACTACTGGAGAAAATTACCAAGGTAAGAAAATCTAACTGTAAGAAATCCTCAAAGCAGTTTTTCCTCTGGGCTGTGTCACACAACAAGCAAAAATCTCTTTGCCTGGCAATTAGTTTGGACAGAGATAGGATGGACACTAAACAGCTCTTTAAGACAGGCTATTCCAAGTACTGTATGAATTTTAGGCAGAATTTTAGACAGGCAAAACATTTATTCAAGAACTCAGAGTTCAAATTACTCATTTTTGTAGTGTAATTCTTAATTTTCACAAATGGTTTGATCATTTTTTTTTCAATTCCTTTTTTTCCCACCACACACACCTCATCAGCATCAGATCCAATTTGCACAGTCCTGACTCTGGTGCTTTTTGATGTGCTCAGCCTCTTCCCAGGCGTCCTGGATTGTACTGGGAGAGCCTCTATTCACGTGTTGGCTAACTCAAACAGGCTTATCCCTGTGTGTGACAGGATCACAGCTTGAGGTGTTTGTCTGGGGACAAAAGTAATGTTGTCTCTTTCAATGGATTAACATTTAAGAGGCCAGAGGTCAGGGGAGAGACCACCTGCACCATTAACCCTTCGTAGGCAAGAGAACCAGAGTTGTACCTGTTACTTTGGGGTATTTGTGGTAATTTCTGCCTGTAATTTGTTCCTTTTGAGGCAAACAAAATATTCTCACACCTCAGTTATTCCCTCATGTTGTTCCATAGCTCTTTAGCATCACCTGACCCACTGGGTAGGGATGATATACCATTGCAGTCATTAATTCATGATGAATATCCTTATTGCAGCTAAGTTCCTGAACTTTTCCCACAGCAGCTATTGTGGCAATGAGCACAGATTGGGAATGAAGTGTTGTTTGAGGAAAAAATCAGCAAGGCAGATGGATAGATTTGGAAAAGTCTTGAGGTTTTATTAATTTTGGGGTGGGATGACAGCTTTTAAATATGATTCCAGCATCTAAATCAAATCCTACAACTAAATCCTTACTCCATGTCCTTCAGCCCAATTGGAGTTCAAATCTAAATTGAAAATAAAAACCTGGCACAGAAAAGCATGAGAAGACTCCCATGCCCAGAAAACCTGGATGTAAGAGTGATTTTTTTTTTTCCCCAGTTTTCTGAAGGGTTGTGGTTTTTTTGTGACCTGTTCTCAGCAGGAGCAGATCGAGAGCTGCAAACAGTTCGTCAGATGATGATTGACTTCTTACAGAACCATTCCCAGGAGGTCAGACCACCTGCTTGCCCACAACTGGACCCAGTTCTGTAAGTTCCTTGTTGCAAATGTCACTGCTGTGTGTTTAATCAGTTAAATAAATGCATTGTAGAAGGTCCTGTTAAAGATGCAATGAGCTTTTTTCTTGCTGTCATCAAATCATCAAGGTTGGCAGAGACCTCTTAGATCATCAAGTCCTGCTGAGAGACTGCACAAGGAAATCCCATGGATAGCAGTGGATGTATTGCACTTACCTCTGCTAAACTTTTCTTTAAAGGTCCAGTGATATTCCTTCTCTGTTGGACAAGAACAGCCACCACTACACTGCCATCGTGTTCGAAAGTAACAGCTCCTACGTCGGGCGAGAGGTAACGTGGGAGTGACACAACTGAATGAATGTCAGCAAACAGCTGAGTTTGGGGTTATTGAGCCAAGCACCAAACCCTGTGATCACAGGCCTGAACTCAGGGGTCGTGGAGGGCAGGTCGTGCATGTTGGAGGGAGGACAAAGCCAAGGGATTAGAGAGGGCTCTGGTGTTCAGCCACACAGAGGAACTTGCTTACAAAAGAAAGTGATGTCATGTTAACTTCTGCCATTCCTGTTGTAGTAGAAGATTAATTTATCACTTTCATTGATAGCACAGTTGTTTTCCTTTCAATATTTGGAAGATCACAACGAAAATTGTGTTGGTTTCCATTATTGTTATTGCTGCTACAGAACCATTTATATATTAATTCTTCTGGGCAACTTTTATGATTCCAACTGTTTATAGCAGTCTAAAATCTCTGGTTCCCTTTCTTCATGTGTAAATTACATTGCATAAAATTATTATATCTCTGAGACACAGAGGAACTGGAAGTTTTTGTTTTTTACTTCCCACCCCCCAATAAAATATTTGATTTGGCATCATTTCCCCACCTAATGAGCTGTTAGCTCAGACAACTGTTGCTTTTTCTTGCTGCCAAGATCTAGTCTAAGGGAAGAAAATAAATGGCATCATTATCTAGGCATAGTTGTGTAGAAACATCCAGTGGCTACAGAATGGGAGCTGCTGTGTTGATCCAAGTGGGTGCTGCTGTAGAAAGGAAACGTGAAGAGTATAAAGTTCTTCAGCTTTTTATCACACTCACTTTGATTTTATCACCTGCTGTTTCAGGGGAGACTGAGAGTCATCTAATTAGCACCAAGTGGAGTCTGCCTTCGGAGGAGAAGTATCTGCTCATGTTCTGTTGTATTTTAGCTTTATAGATTAGGGAAATAGAAAATAATATTGTTTTCATGTTTGCCATATAAGACAGTAAGGACAAACCTAATAGGAGTCCCAAGTGCTGGAGAAGGAAAGGCCAAGCAGGTGTCATCACTGATGGAATGAAGGAAGACAAGCTCAGGACAGACCAAGGAAAATGATAAAAAAAAAGCAAAATAGGAGTAATAATTTCCAGAGAAGTGAAATTGTTAGTTGCACAGAACCCTTGTGGCAGCACTCCCTGGTGAACGGCTTAATGATGCCTTCAAGGATGATGCACTTCACCTGTTTATGTGTCTTGTCCTACAAGATTGGGTATTCCTTGATCAATAGATAATTCATGTCATCTTTTCATTGCTCAGGTTATCTTAGACTTGATCCAGTATGAAAACATCATCGTGAAGAGAGCACTGAACTTTGATAAGCCTTTGCTTGAGAAACTGGGGGTGACCTCAGTCCCCTCCTGCTACCTGGTGCAGCCAAATGGGTCCCATGGATTAATTAACAAGTGAGTAATTCTCTCTCTGAGGATTATGGGGAGGTTCACTGAAGCTATAAAACAAAGTAAATTATTCCATCACCTCCTCTTGCATCTATATGACATTGTGTCCTGGCATGTCATCAATACATTGTTTGACTGAAGTTGTGTTACCTCTGCTATCAATAAGAGACCTAATAGTGCTTTGCTTACCACTGTTGCCTGTTCAGAGCTTTAACCTATTACTGTGGTACTTCTGAAAGGAAAAAACCTGGGAATAAAATAAATGAAGCATTAAAATCTAAAACACTTGATTGGATAGACAGGAAGCTGAAAAGGAGCCAGCAGTGCCCATGGTCTAGTAACTATGGTAGGGTTGGTCTTAATGATCTTAGAGGTCTTTTCCAACCTGATTGATTCTATGATTCTAAGTCAAAATATTTCTTCACATGAACATTGTCTGTAGAAGGTGAACTGATGTTTGAGTGAACATTATTTGTTCTTACTTTGAATGGAATTTGCCTCCACTGATCCAAATCATTTGTTACTCCTAAACTGAACATTATTTCCTTTCACTGTGTATCAAAACATACCTAGGACTGCAAAACATAAACCAGAGTGAATGTCTTGTTTTTATAAATATACTCCTTTGCTTTGGACATCACTTAGTCTGAGCTGGAAATTGATCTCTCTTTGTTCATTTCTTTGCAGTTTGAAGCCTCTACGATCTTTCTTTTCTTCATATTTAAAGTCACTGCCAGGTGTAAGGAAAAAACTTCTCCTGCCCCTCCAGCTGCCTGCTGCAGAGAACAGAGAGGAGAGCACAGAAACAAGGGTCTGGAAGGAGTTTGATAAGTAAGTGATACTTTTGATTTGCAGATCAACTTGCTTATCGAAACTGCAGATTTTCTTGCCGTGTGGGAAGCTGTGCTGTATTTTATTGTAAATTTCTCATGCACTTCCAAATGTTACTTCATTCTATCCCAGAGGATGTGCCTGGAGTTGAGCAAGTTGATCACTAAGGAATGTTCTGCATTCTGCTGAGTAAAATGAAAGGTGTTCATGCTTAAAACTGGAGAGATTACAGCCTCAAAACTCAGATCAGAGCTTTCAGCTGCTGCTCCAACTTCATTCAGCTCACACTTGTGAATTGGTTCAGTTCCAACATCAAGGTTAGAACTTCTCTACAATTGTGAACAGCTCTTCAGACAGTTCAGAGGAGAAATTATTGAGGGCTGTCAGTACTCTGTGTTTAGTAAACACTGCTATGGAAGGAATATTCTTCTCAAAAAGTAGTGTTAAATACTCAGTTGGCTTCAAAACAAGGACTGAAGCATAGTGGTCACTGATTGGAATTGCTGGAAACATTCAGTAAGTCATCAGTGCCCTGAAAAAATAGCTAGTAAATGAGCAAGCTGTGAGATTTCTGTAGACCAGGAGAATTGTGTGTGTATAGCAGTGAAGCAAAACCCACTAAAATGTGTTGCCAAATGCAAGAATAACAGAAAATCCTAAAGTCACTGTAAAAGATGTTTATCATCTCAAATCCATAAGGTTTATCTTCACCCTCTTTGTCTGTTGAAGAGAAGGATGTAAAGCCTCTGCAGAGAGATAATCCCTCAGCATCTTTAGATGGAAAAGATGTAGGACTGAGTGCTTTAGTACTTATTTTCCTTTCACAGACACTATTAGTGTCATCTTCTTTCAGTGCCTATTAGAAAATACTTTATATGAAACATTCTCTTAGCAAAACAACTTAGTTAAATTGAGCTGCTTTTCCAGCAAGACAAAATCCTGTTGACATGAATCTCCAGCCCAAGTACCTTCTAAATAGGATCCTTTGGGAGAACCTCCTGCATTCATGTGGATATCTCTTTCTTTGAGAAACTTGAAGCAGAATTTTGCTGTCTTAAAATTCAAGTGAGTACCTTATTAATTAAGGAGATCCATTCAGAATGAGTCTGTAGTTTGTGTTGTTAAGGTATAGATTATTCTGCATTTTAATGTGTTCTTTCCTGCAGGTTATTTAGGAGGTGAGGCCAGGCAGTTCCTTGAGTGATTGTGTCTTCATTCTGTTTTTAGAAGCAACAGTGGTGCTGAACTCTCACAAGTGTTGACTCTGATAACTCTGTGAACTTCTGTTTGTTGTCTCCTCCTGTCTGCAGTTTCCACTCAGAAAGAATTGTGCTCACGTGCTTGATGCATTTTTACTTTACAATGTGATTTTGTTATGAAGATACTTGGGTGTGAGAAGGAACTTTTAAATCTTTGATTTGTTTTATGTGGTTTACTTGTATCTGTCATAAAGTGCTTAATTCTCTCCTCAGAGCTGGTGTGGTTAAACTTGTACATAAAGAACCTGCAGTGAAACTACTGCATTTGGGAGAGGATTTCTAGAGTTAGTCCTTTCCACATTGGTGTTTTCAGGGCTGTTTGTACCTGTGCTCAGTGTGTAATGTGCAGTTGTTGCACACAACTCTCCCTGTGTTCCTACCATGTCATTTTGCTGTTTGTGGTCAACCCAGCAGGGAAGCTGTAATTTCCCTGTTGCCAATGCCAGGGCTGTAATTTCATCACAGGGTAAAGCTGGCTGGAAGACACAAAGTTTACTCAGATAGAAAAACAACAACTTCTTGTGTGTGTCTGTGCCTCCTTTGTCTCAACTCTGAACCAAGCAAGCCCTGTGAGGCTCAGTGAGAGTCACCAGACTGAGCCCTGAGTGTGCCTTCCCAGGACAGCTGCAATCCCTGTGGAGTGCTCAGTGCTGAGCTGGTAATGACACCTATTCTATAGCAATTTTACCTTGATGACTGGTGAGGAAATGAGCAGAAGGAACCTGCCACATTATGCCCTGATGTATGTGTGTTCCAGGTCCAAGCTGTACATGGCTGACCTTGAGTCAGGATTGCATTACCTGCTCAGGGTGGAGCTTGCCACACACAAGATGCTTGAGGGAGCTGAGCTCAAGACCTTCAAGGATTTTGTCACCGTCTCTGCCAAGGTAGACACTTGTAGCCTGTGATTATTTGTGAGAGTAATGTGACTTTCACCTGAAATTTATTATGGGGCATAAGTCTCTCAAAATGTCTTTCACAATGGTTAAGTATCTATGTCCTTAGTGGCTGAAAAAAGAGCTTTGTGGGTTTATAGAAATGTTCTTTTTAAGGGATTTTATGCTGTTCTGACACATTTAGATTTTAATTTCATCTTAGAGGGCTAAAAATTAACTAAAGCTTAAAAACTCTGCAGCAAAATGAACAAATACTAAATATAGTCCATTTATCAGATTTTCAAGCTAAATGGCTATTGCAACCAAATGGGATTAAAACAACCTTTGGTTTACATTTCATTCTTGACTTTGGGATTTCATTAATGCATACCTGACAAATGTGTTCTGCTTAGACATGTGAGTAACTTTGCCTAAATAATGTGACATGAAAAAGTATAAAGCAATTTCACTTTAAAATGCCAACTCACTGGAGTGACCAATATCTCTATAGTTCCTTACTGTGGAGCTAACACTGTGCTTTATTTTCACAGGTGAATCAGTAATTATTTAAGGGCATAACGAGGCTTAGATGAACCAATTCACAATCTGTGGATGTAGCTGTAAATCAGGCAGTTCCTTGCCCAGCCACCCCAAATCTCTAGCTGGCCTAATTTCTTTAAGAAAGTGGTGGTGATATTTTCATCATGTTATCCCTAAAACATGCTCTGTGACCCTGGTGGCTCCGGGCCAGCTGATGGCATCTGCCTCTGGCTGCTAGTGCAGGATTGGGAATGTTCTCTTCAGGGTAGCTGTTGATCCTCTCCTCCTGTTGCACAGCATTTACAGTGCTGGTAAATCCCCAGTCACAGAGGTCTCTGGTTCCCTGCTTGGGGAATTGTCCTTACTGAAATCTTGCTCCCTCTGGAAGGGCCCTAAAGGATTTTCAGGCATACTGGTCTTAATTCTGTAGGAGTTACAACCAGCATTTGGGCAAAATAGCATTTCTGGTGTGAAATAATGGCATTATTCCTGGCTTACAGTTCCTCACAGACTGTCACATCTGTGAGTTCCAAGGTAAGGAAGTCACTGTTCCCAAATCCCTTTGGAAATCACCATTACATATAGGAACAGGAAAATGCTCTTCTGCATAACCAACTACTAAATTTACAGGAATCTAACCCAAAGTTTTCTAAGAGTGAGGATTTTAGCCTCTGATCCCTGAAGTGTTTCACTCTATTCTGAACTAAATTACTTTCAGGCAAAATTCTATGTAATCTATCAAGTTACTCCATAGTATTTCTTCATTAGCTTAATTTTTACCATTTTGCACATACAACTTGTTAATTTTTTATGCACAAGTAAAGTGTGAGAAAGTTTTATGGCTGCAAGCAAGAACAAGCAATTAATTTGCTCACAAGAAAACAACCCCTGAAGCACTTTGAAGCCAGGAAAAACACTTAGAAAAAGACAATAATGTCTTGCTACTAATGAGATTTGCGCTTTAAAATATTTTCTCTCTTGTTTTTTTTTTTCCTTTCCTCAGCTGTTTCCTGGCCGTCAGCCTGTGGTGAAGTTGTTAGAGACCTTGCAGGAGTGGCTGGTGAGCCTTCCATTAGACAAAATCCCTTATGATGCTATCCTAGATCTGGTCAACAACAAAATGCGGGTAAGCTGTGCCTGGTTTGCAGAGTAAAACACTGCATTAGGAAAGGATAAGATTCTCTCTAAATCTAAGACATGACTTACTGATGGTCCCTCAGGCATAATGGAGTTATAAGAAGGTTAAAATGAAAATAAAGGGAAGTCATTACCAGAGGCAAAAAAACCCTCATCTACATGAAGAAATTGAAATGAGAGATTTGAAACACACAATCCTGGCTTGGGTTTGTAGTGAGCAAGCAGTGTGTGTTCCCTGATGTCAGCTCCCAGTGATGCAGCATTCCCAGTGGGTGTTTGTGGATTGCTGTGCTGTGCCTATCAGCAGGACTCTCTTGAAGGTCAGAGGTCAAGTGATGGGAAGTTTCCCTGCTGGAATGGGCATTATTCCCCAAATCATCTTCACTTTCCTGGCACACAAAGGCCTTGCTGGAATTCCTGAGCCCTGTGGCAGAGCTGTCTTTGCACACAACTGAACAAGAGTCTTTTCTAACCTAGCTGGTATCTGAAGTGTGGAAACCTCCTATGTGTTTCAGGAAGCAGAGAGAGAAGTCTCAGCCACTAAAATCTTACCCTGGCTCTTAGGTGTAAGGAATAAATAATGGGTTTGTTCTAAGAAGAAATAATAGTGAATTGTACATAGAATCATCAAGGTGGGAGGAGACCTCTGGGATCATCAAGTCCAACCATTAATCTGCTACATCTCACCCTGTTAAGGCTGTGAGTCACATGAGCCTTGTGGGATAAGAAGGAATTTTTAATAGGACAAGGAAACTGTAGCTCTGTCAGAGTTCACAATGATACTTGTGTGTGTTATGTTCATGCTGTGCTTGAAAAACCTTCACAAGTTAATCTACTTGATATGCTCTGTCAGACTAATGTTAGTGGGTTTGACATCAGTGAGTGCATTTGTGTTTGGTGCAAGAGGGATGAGTTTTCTAAAGATGCATCGGAGTAGATCACACTTGAGGATAGTTCTAAGTCTAAATTTAATTTGCCTTAAGCATGAGCTTATTAGCAACAAGTGCAGAGTCAGTGTCTGTTCTGTGCCCTCAGATCACCTCAGGGCAGGATCAGCTGCAACTGCTGCTCCATTCGGTATAGGTGCAGCTCTGGGACATAAATGTATCTTAAATACATCTCTTTTCTTTCAGATTTCTGGGATATTTCTCACCAAGAAGGCTCAGTGGGTTGGCTGCCAGGGCAGCAGACCAGAGCTGAGGGGTTACAGCTGCTCCCTCTGGAAGCTGTTCCACACTCTCACCGTTCAAGCTGCACTGAGACCCAAAGCTCTGCTAAATACAGGTAAACAGCACATTTTGGGGTGTGCAAATCCTCAGCTACTTCATTTGTGCAGGAGAGTGGCTGCAGGGCTGTACCAGCAGGGGTCAGAGCTTGGCTGCAGCAGGAGGAGAAAAGCCTGACAATTCCTCCTGCCTTAGAGATGTGGAAAATAAACTCTCTAGCCCTAAAGCTGTGAGCAATAAAGCAGGCAAAAAAGGGAGAGAATTTCAGACAAAGACATTCTGAGCTCCCTGAAAAGGGATGAAAATGGTTCAGTTTCCCTGAGGTTGCACTGCTAATTACATTTGATCAGGGGGAGATTTAACCCTACAGTTTAGTAGCTATAAAAGATGTACAACCATCAGCTGATCCTTCTGTGATGTTATTGCTTAAATACTGAATGTTATGACTGTTTGAAGTTGGGGGGTTTTTTTCAGCTGAATGTACCTGTCAGTAATCTCTGCAGTGATTTACCATTTTGCCAGCACTCTGTAAAATTGTTCATTTTTAGACTTGCAGCATCTTGTGAAGCAAAATATTAATATTCTGGGGATGATACCTATTGAAGAAACGTGGTTATATATCTATTTCCTCACCCAATGAAAACAGAATTCCTAATGCTAAAATATTGCCCTTCACATGTTGTCATTCTTGTTTATTTTATTCAGTGCTTTGTTTGCTAGAGTTCTGTTTATTTCCTTTAAAGCTTTTAAAATGCCTTTTCCAAGGAATAGGAGAATTCTAGATGGACTGTTACCACAGAGCTCAGACATTTGCAATTTGCCAGTTGCTAATTGTGTGCTAAAAGGTATTTTATGACTCTAAATTCTGGATCCATGTGTTTGTCCAGAATTGTTTGCAGTGAAAATCTTTCAAATCTTAGTATTTCTCCTGCAGAATAGGAAGATTTTGTGGTAGAAAATCCTCCTGTTGTTGGCTTTTGTTTCTCTCTTTGTTTTGTCTTGTTTTGTTTGTTATTCATGGGGCAGTGGGTTGAATTTCTTCAGTTTGATGCTGTGAGTTTGAAGGGTTTGTTCTGGCTGATTTTAGCTGCTCACACATACATCAGTTACATTTCCCCTTTTACCTCAGTGGCCAAAACTGTTGTGATTAAAAAGATTCTTAATACTTAACTATACAAAATTACACCTTAAATTCTGCATTTCAAACATGAGCTCTCATCAGTCTGAAGTTAAAAATACACCCCAGAACCTGAGGACTCTTTGGCACACTTAGCCCTGACTGTAAATCGGGACAGAGATGTGATGATCACTTCTTACAGCCAAAGAATTGGGTCAGTCTGAGACTGTGGGATTATGTCTTGGGAGGTTTTCCTCTCCTTATTGCTTGTTTAAATCCCATCTACTAAAAAGCATGATGTACTCCCTAATCCTTCCCACCACAGGTAGGGTTTTATGCTTCTTGTCCACTTTAAAGATTAGGGTTACCCTGAATTGCAGTAGTTTGGGAGGAAAGAGAAAAGGAGGATTACACGATGATACATGGCAGATGTTAATAGAAGATTCATCTCCGAGCTGATAAAAGAAAAACAAACCAAATGAGCCATTTTGCAATTGTTTGTTTGCTTTTTTTTTTTTTTCGAGCAGATGTATTTTTCTTGATGGTTTCCTGGCAGTGTGGGGGAACTCGCTGTGGCTTTCTGGATGAAATGGGTTTATTGGTCTGTGTTTGATGTGGTTCAGTGTTCACCAGTGAAATCTGAACCTGCAGTGGGAGCAGCAAGGGGGAATCCAAAGGAACTTGGGACAGAACTGCTCACATCCAGGGATGGATGTGTAAAATCACTGTGGAAATCAGGTCCTGAGCACATTTAATCATACGAAATGTGGGTTTAGGTAACAGAATCTGTTGGTGTGAATAGGACAAGCTCATGGGCATTAAAATAGATTCTTTGGATTCTTGTTTAATCTGTTGCTGAATTTGAAAGATCTCCCTCCAGAGTGAATTTTCTGAGGGTAACACTGCACAGGAGAACAGACCTAATTTGAGTACAAATCTCTGCTCCTCCATGTGGACATCATTTACTATAGTTACCTTTGCTGTGGTGTTGTTTTTCTCCAAACACATATCGAAGGTAAAACTGTTTTGCCTGAAATGAATTTCAACATTCCAAAATTATCTTCCAGTTTTTAATACAGTAATTTAATCTGCTTTAATCTCAACCTTTGTTTTTACATGTTCAGTCACAGATACTGAAGGGCTGAGGAGACATCGTTTGCTTTTTGGGGTTTCCTTTTGGCTTTAAGGACTTTTTTTTTGCTGCTGTGTTTAAGAACATCATCTTGTTGTTCCCAGTAAAGGTGTGAACAACAACCTTCATGTATTTCTTACCTATATAACAGATAAACACTGGTATTTTGAGCAGATTTCACTGAGGATTGTTTTTCCCCCAAGCCCAAAGCAGTAGCAAGTGCCTCATGCTGGAGGTGCTCAGCAGCAGGAGGCTGTGATTTGATCAATCTGCACCATAAAACGTGTTTAGTTTGACAAATGTGTGTTCCTGGTAATGGATAGCACAGTTTTAAATACCTTTTGACATAATTTACTGGGTCAATTAAGGATGAATCAGAAATTCTGTGAGACGGAGATGAAACCATTAGGATTTCAACAAATGATAACAGGTTTTCAAGCCTCTTAGAGATGTAGCAACTACCTGATGGCACAATAAAGGCTCAGGACAGAGTTCTCCATCTGTGAAGACCTTAGTTTACTTCTCAATTAATTACTCTTTTGCATTATCTTCAGTGTAGGCCTGCGAGTGGTATAGAAAGAACAATGTGCTTGTGTTTATTTGAGGAGGAATTCCTGATTTACTCTTGCAAGTGCAAATGGTGCTCAGCAGCTGTTGTGTGTGTGCAGTCAGTGCCTGCCAAAAAAACCCCTTGGAATTAATAACTCTAATGAGATTCTGGTGCTCTCTAATACCTCAGAGTTCTAGAGGAGCAAACAGACATCACAGGCACCTTGGGAAGTACTTACCAGAGGGGATTTGACTCTTGGTTTTTTGCCATAACTGTAGGCACTAATGTCATGGTGAATGCACAGCAGAAATATTAATCTAGTTTTTGGGCAAGATATTGGAACTGGTCTCTGCTTCCAGAAGGATTGTGACATACAGTGTGGACTTTGTACATTTTAACAACTTCACCATGTACTCTGATAAAATTTAATGGCTTTTCATTTCACGAATGGCAAAGTTCTTTCCCCCCCTCAAATTTTAAGATACTCTTTGAAAGGAGAAATTTCCCTGTGAAGAACTTGACCTTTAACTCTGACTTTAATGTGTTGTTCAGGGTAAATTTGAGCAGAGTTGTATGGACTATATGTGTTTGTCTGTGTTGGCATTAAGACTACTCTGCATTTTTGGAACCTTAATGTGTTGGAAATAATTTCCTTGTGCTGTCTGATACCTCAGACAAGCTTTCCAAGTAGGAAAAGTCCTGTTTGAGAGCACTTTAAGCTCTGTTTATTGCCAATTAATTTGGTTTCTAAGTGTCTCACTTCAACTACTTAGTGACAATATTCTCTATGTATTTACAATATGTCTTTTGTTGGGGAGATATTTCTTCTCACAACTGTGTGAAGCTTTTCATCCCTCTAAAATCTGTGCCTCATGAGGTGTAGGTGCTGTATGGTGACACTTGTGCTGTGGGTGTCTTTCAATGACCACAGTGAGCAGTGTCTGATCTCTAAAGTCAGGTGTAAATTGTGCATGGAAGAAGAATTGAGCAGCACTTCCTTTTCCCTCAGTTCCTTTGTGTGAGCATTGAAGTGTCTCTGTTGAACTTCTGTTGCCCAGACAGTGCTAAATGCATCTCTCCCCTGTCTCCCAGGTCTTGAGGACAATCCCCAAGTTGTGCTGCAGGTGATGAGGAGATACATTCACCACTTCTTTGGCTGCAAGGCTTGTGCTCAGCATTTCGAGGAAATGGCTAAAGAGTCCATGGATTCTGTGAAAACCTTGGACCAAGCTGTTCTGTGGCTCTGGGAAAAACACAATGTGGTGAACAACAGGCTGGCAGGTATGGGAGAGAAACACACCCGAGAGGTGACTGTGGCACTGCAGTGTTGTGCCTTTATGGGATGTCATGAAACACAGCATTCCCAGGGGTTTTTTCCTCTGGGATTTCACCTGTTTGCTCAGAGGCTCTTGCTGGAGGATGAATCCAAAAGGGAAAGCAGAGTTCAGTGGAATAAAAATAAGTACATTTCTCTCTGTAGCAGTTTAAATAGCTGTTAAAACCTGTCTTGGGTTTGTTCTGTATGGAAAAATACGACAAATGAATAAGAGACTGTGTCAGGATCAAAGAACCTGAAGTGTGAGCAGCTCAGCAAGGGAATAAACTAAGGTGAGTCTGTTCCCCTCCAGATCACTGTTTTCAGTTAGCCTAAAAGTGCTGTTAAAACACTGGTGGTGTTTAATCCTTTCTGTTCTGGGGGTATCAAGTAACTAAAGCACTAAAGAAAATTGGTTTCTCTTTGCACTAAATCCCTGTCTGCTGTTATGGATCTGGGTAATGCACACTGCTTACAACTGAAACATGCTCTGCTGTGGTTATACACCCCAAATTCCCATGATTTATGAAGTGTTAAATACTGCTGTGAGTACAAACAGTTTGTGTCCTTTCTGTGAGGGGCAAAAAAAAAGCAGATGATAAGGTATGAAATAAAAAGATCTCCTAATTTTGGTTCCTCTTGCTGAGCTGAACACAGAGACAGCAACTCCCCCTGGCTTGGAGTTGCTAAGTGGTGCAGCAATACACTTATTTAAAACATTAAGGTATTGGAAAACTCCCATGGATATTGATTTAGGTGATGCAACAGCCACTAAAATGCCCTTTTAGGAAGAAGTAGAAACACACTGGAATAAATAATAATGTTAAATTATGCTCTTTAAGTTTGCTAAAATTTCTCTGTGGGACAGTGATGGATTTTTACCCTTAAAAGCTGCTTCTGGATTTGTGGTCATGTGTTTGGCTTTCAGGGAGAAATGATGGTTGGTCAATGAAAACACCTTTGCCTCTGGGTCAGGAGGTGGAGGTGGCTGTGCCCTGTTGAGTTATTCCCTGTTGCTTCAGAATGCCCAAAATTGACATTGGCCATCCCAGTGCCATGCAGTGCTCTGGGCACAGCCTCAAGCTCTGCCAGGGGAGGTTTAGGTTGGATATGGAATGTGCTGCCCAGGGAGGTGGTGGATTCCCCATCCCTGGAGGTTTTTAAGGTGAGACTGGATGTGGCACCAGCTACAGCTCTGAGCTCTTTGCCACATAGACAAGGAGCCGTGAGCAACTGAAATGTTAAAATCAGGTCAAGTTCAAGACACTGTTCCATGTTTAAAGGCTAAAAAACAAGCTGAAAATACATCTGAAATAGGAAAATCGCTTTTAAATACTGAAGGTAGTTTGTAATACTGCAAAGCTCAGGGTGGAAATGTTCCTAGCACAGAAACAAGAAAATATCAGAGTGTTTGGCCTTGGAGCTGCTCCTGTGACTCAGGCACAGCTCAGGGATTAGGGAGCACTGGGTGCAAAAGAGCAGTTTGTTTTGCCCCAGAATTCAGGTTAACCCTGGAGGGCCCAGATGGTGTTCTGCCCTCTGGAGCAGCAGTTGGAGGAGCTTGGGCTGGGGTTGGAATGCTGAGACTTTGCCTGAGGGAAAAGAGAAATAATGATCAGCCAGTTTTTGTGTTTTGAAAGTATTTGGACCAGCATTGAGACATCCACGAGGAAACACGAATTTCCAACTTTGTTCCTGATTGTCTTAGTTTGGTACAAACATTATCGTGCTGCTTTTTGCCAACCTCAGTGTCTGTAAGTGGAAAATACTCTGTGCAGTGTCAGTTCAGCTTTGCCACTTCATTCACTTCTGATATTTAGTTTTCATTTCTTTTTTTTTTGCTCTTTCCCAATCAGGTGATTTGACTGAAGACCCCAAATTTCCCAAAGTTCAGTGGCCAACTCCAGACATTTGTCCTGCATGTCATGAAGAAATCAAAGGACTGCACAGCTGGAATGAAGAAAAAGTGCTGCAGTTCCTGAAGCATCACTACAGCACCGAAAATATTCTCCATAAATACGCCGAGAGCCAAACTGACTCCACTGAGGCTGAGCAGGGAGACACAGGGGAGGTGAAAGACAAACACCTGCTGAAGAAATCAGGGGGAAGCAGAGAAAATGGGATGCAGGAGAAGGAAAACCCCCTAGATTCAGGCTCCAAGGGGTTGGATAAGCCAATAGCTAACCCTGGAGCTGTCCAAGGTAGCGGCAGGAGCTCAGCTGCAGCAGGAAACCTCCGAGAGACAAGGCAGGCTGTGTCCTTCCTGGGCATTGGATTTTCCAACCTAGACATGAGCCTGTGTGTCATCCTCTATGTGGCATCATCCCTGTTCTTAATGATCATGTACTTCTTTTTCCGGGTGAGATCCAAGCGGTGGAAAGTGAAGTATTCTCGTTCCTCTGTGTAGGAGTTGTGTTTGGTTGTGGCTGGTCAGTCCCAGAGACAGCTTTAATATTTATGATCAGGGATTTTCTATACAGTATTCCTTGTTCCAAACCCCTCTCTTCCCGAGGCATTCCACAGGTGTTGAGCTGAGTGCACAGAGGTGGCTGTGAGAGCCCCAATCTCTGCCCGAGGCACACGGAAACGTCCTCTGAAGGGAAAGTTGCATTTGGCATTAAGATTTTTCCATGACTTCCCACCTACATCCTTTACTCATTTTCAGAGTAAACATTGCATTATGCAATCCACTGTGCCTGCTGGAGGAGGAAATTGGATATTGGTTTGTGTACTCCCAAGTCAGGTGTTATTTTTGTTTCATTTATCCAGAGCTGATTTTTCCTACCCAAGTGCTGAATGGTTCTGCTGTTTCCTTGGCTGCTTCATTTGGAGAAGCAGGAACACTCTTTTTTTTTTTTTTTTTTTTTTTTTTTTTTTAGGAAATAAGAGTTCTGCTCTGATTAAATCAACCCCAAACCTATGTGACTTTCTGAAATGCTATTTACACAGCATATTTAAAGCAGAAATCATTCCATGTTCAAATCATTCTTCCATTCTCTGTGCATTCCAGCCAAGGATGGATGTGTGGGTGGCAGGAGGAGAGTTTTGGGGCAGTTTGTGGCTCAGTTAACATCCTGGCTCTGATTGCTAATGTTGTCACCATCTGAGTGGAGATTGGGTGTGAGCAAGGACAGACCCAGAGCTGTACTTGCTCCACAGTTGGATGTGTTGCCAGAACATTGGATAACTCTCCTCATTTGTGAACCAGAAGAACAGCTGAGTAATTACTGTGTTATCCACATGGAAGCCAATCCTGATGAACTCTAGTGAAGGAAACTGTTTTCAGTGAAGGACAGTGAGATTTGCATCAGCCTGCTGGAACAGATGGAAAAGTGTGGAAACACTGAGTTATTCCATTGGATAACTCCATCACAATATAGCAACTAATGTTCCCTTGGTGTTCCAGCTCTGAGCTCACAGAGAGGCAACTGCCAGCTCTGAGGTTGCCTGTGCAGTGCATGGAACGGCCCTTTCCTCCATCCCTGCTGCTGGAGAGCTCCTCTTGGAATCAGAAATGGTTCTCTGGTGGTGAAGTCCCAGAGCTGCTCCATGCTGGGATGTGGCAGCAGCTGGGATGTGGCAGTTGCCTGTCTGGGGTCCTGGTGGGCAGCAATTAGCAGAAATCATGCAAACAGTTCCAGAATTCCCATTGGGAATGGGAGTTGCCCTGATCCAGGCTGGGGGATAAGTCACGTCCTGGCTAGTGAAGTTTCTAATCCTATCCAATGTAATTGAGCATGTTCTAGTTATCCATTACCTAATCTTTAGTTAATCCTAATAGGTTTTGGCCTCAATGTTTTCTCGTGGCAGTGAGTTCTCCAGATTAATTATGTTATATAAAAAGGCTTTTCCTTTCAATTCTACATTTGCAACTTTTAATTTAATTGAATGTTTGCTGCCTCCTCTGTTACACGAGAAGGAAGCAGCAGTCCCTGGCCAATTCCCTGGATTTAGACCCTTACTGTGTCCTCCTCTGATTTCCCTCATCAGCTCCAGCACAAAAAGTTTAAAGCCAGGCAACAAGAATAGTCAAAGAGCACAAAACCTCCACAGGGTTATTTTTTTCGTGATCAAATCTTGTTTGTTCACCAAACTGAGTATTTCTTTCTGCAGCTTCAGATTGGAATGACAGAACTGAGCTTCCAGGATTCACTGTCCCTTGGTGCTTGTGTTCATCTGAATAACACACAGGGCAAGGAACAACTTTCTGTGGTTGTGAATGTGTTAGAAGGAAAAAAAAATTGTTCACATCACACTTAGGCTGATGTCCCTGCAGAGATGCATGACCTGTGCTTCACTGAGCCTTCAGCACTGCTGTGTGTGCCCTGTGGCTCCTGCTCCAGTGCCAGGAACTTGGCTCTGTGCTCTCTCCATGAAGCTGAGCCCAACTCCTGCCCTCTGCCACACACATTGTGGCATTGGCTCAGTCTGTGCTCTTTGAGGACCCTCAGTCTTCCCAAGTTCTGGCACAAGGAGTGATCGTGGGTCTTCTCTCCAGGAATTTAAGTCCCTATAATCATAGCTGGATATTGAAACAGCTTGTGAGCAACTGGAGTGATGGTGAGCCCATGGTGGAAGGTGGTCCAGGCTCTGATCCATGAGACATCCCAGGAGAGGAGGCTCATTGAGAGGAAAACCTGGAGATTCCACATTTAGTTGTGAAAATCAGGGAACTTATAAGTGACCTAATATCTGGGGAGTTCTCAGCCCTCAAGCAAGGACATTTAGCCTTCAAAAAAACCAACCCAAACACCAAGAAAACCCAAAGCAGCACAGCAGTGTTGGATCTGGAAAGCTTAGC